TTTACTTAAACCTGACCTTGAATGACAGGGAGGATTTGAAAAGATGGAGGAATCAGGAGAGGCATTTTAGGACGAAGTGTACTTAGAGGCAAGGATAAGAATGGCTTGTTCTGGGGACAAAGAGATTAGCCCGAACAGAGCAGGGCAGGCCAGTCCCCGGGGTTTGGTGGGAAATAAAGTAAAATACAGAAGGTGGGGTCAAGTTATGAAGGAGAGAGCCACAAAAACCAGGAGAAAGTGTCTAGACGTCACAATGTTTACTATGAGGCCTGGTAAATCGTAGGTGTTCAATAAATATTAGAAGACTGATAAAGAGAGGTTTTATAGCACTGCTTATCTGCTCATCTGGATTGGACAGCAGAGTGTGTCTCATTTGGAAGGTGGAGGGGAGGAGGGCTAATTCACACGTGGATAATTGACAGCTGACTGTTTCAAATCTCCTTCATCATGTTAACCACCAGGTGCCATTCACCACTTGTGGGAACCTCAATCTCGTGTTGGCAATCTCTTGCTCCAATAAAAATTTCATGGGTCTAAAACGCCGTGTGCTCCAATAGCCATGTGATCATAAATCTGAGGTTATAAGTGCTGGATTGCCACTACCATCAGTTACAGGTGTAATTTCGGTGTCTCTAAATTAGTGACAGGTGCAAAACAGCATTTGCAGAAGAAAAATAAAAAGGAGAGAAACAGAAAAAAATGTAACGTTGTTGAAGTTTATAGAAACTTAGTTCTATTCAAATGAGTCCAATTCATTATCACATACATTTTCACCAACCCGAGGAGATGGATATGGGGCACTGACTGGACAACACCAGCGTGCATTTGAAGTGTGTCCACAGGAAGCTACAGGAGCAGCTTTGGGACAGTTCTGTTGCTCTAAGACAGTGAAGAAATTCACTTTGTTCATATTTTGTCAGATCCAAGGAATATGTGCCTAAGGAAGAACCAGGGTGAGGTGTGAATTTCCCCTGGGGTGATTTCTCCGGGTTGAAGATGAAATTGAGAATGCTCACAAAAACAGCATCTGTCACACCATCTCTATTAGAGCTATAAAAATCATTTTCATTTAAAGACTCATGTTTTACAGCGCAATTAACACTTTAAATGGATGACTATTGCCCAGGACTTTCCAAGGCCAGGTTGTGTGATAAGGTCTAAAAAATAATCCTGTGTTATCTTGTATTCGTCTGTCGTAACTGCCATTTCTTTCAACTGTTTCTTATACTACAATTCATAATTTTGGGAGAAAGTATTAGAGAAATGACAGTTTTTTTTTAAAAAAAAAAAACAGGGAGGAGATTCTTAGTCTAGAAATCTACTGAGTCCTGAAGTTCAAGAAAGAACTTGAATTTAAATCAATAAATAGATGATAAAATTACAGGCACACTAAGAAAAAAAAAGTTAATATGGGCAAGAGTAAAATGATTTTTTTAAAAACCTTGATTTTTTTTTTCTTTTGTGGTTTTGGAGACGGAACCCTGAGCCTTGTGGACGCTGGGCGAGTCCTCTACCACTGAGCTGCAATCCCAGTCCTCTGACGGGTCATTTCAGGGGAGATTATGAAATTCAGAGCTTAAATCTTTCCTGGACTGCCTCTTCACCGTATAGAGATGATTAAAACTCAAGACAGTTTTCCCACGTGTCTGAGAAGAAAACATGCAATCGTTGCTCTCACTTAAGCCCCTAGAATGATTTCAACCTTTGGCAAGTCAATTTCTTCAGAGACAAATGTTAATGGCAGTGGGGGAGGCCATTTCTCCATCTTAAAACAAATCAGGGCTGGGAGGGTAGCTCAGTGGTGGAGCGTTTGCCTTGGCACGCCGACTCATTTTGGTTTGATGAGGACAGCTCTGTTTTTCCATATTCTGTGAAAGGCTTTAAATTTATTTGATTCTCCAGAGCGATTAATGCGACTGCAATGAAACTCCATATAGGACGTGAGATCTGCTTTTGCAAATATTCTATCGCTCAGTCCTCACGATAATCCTGTCGTTTCTGTTAAAACATGTGGACACAGAGGGGCCAGAGAGGACAAAGGACTTGGTCACATTCAAGCAGCTTGTCAGTGTCCCAAATGGGATTGGTCCTTACATTTCCAAGTACAGCATGGGTCCCTCTGAACTTCTGAAAAGAGGCACATTTGGGTCCACTGTCTAGATGTTTCTGAGTCGCCTGGAGTCATGCAGACACAGTTTAAGTATCCTTCAATAAAAACGGCGTGCAATCAATCACTCGCTCCTATCTCGGGAGAGAGACTCGTTTCGAAGGATTGAGGATTGCAGCATTTATCATGTCTCTGAGGCATATTTGCATTGCTCAATTCCCTCCAAAGGACAAGTGTGTCATCATCTCTCGATGCTCTGGTGCAACAGCTTAAAATGATAGAATTCACACAGGACCAGGTCTGGCACTGGAAGTGGGAGGCACAGTGAGCCTGAGCTTGTGGAAGCTTCCCTTGGATCTTGGCAATTTCTTCTGGTGGAAATGGTTTCGGAGCCAGCGTGGGGTTACTTGGGGTTGCACACAGAGCTCTTGGTGAACAAAGAAAGGGGAGTAACCTAAAGGGGCCGCAGGAAGAAGGGGGCCTTGGAAAAGTTGTGGCAGTCCCCTCTGAGCGTCGTGGAGATCTTAATTCTTGTGGATAGGACCAATATAACTGGACCTCTGGGTCACTCACAGTAAAAGTGTCACTTCTCCTTCAGTAGCAGTTCCCAGCGCCCCGCAACCCACAATTCCTTTTGCTCCACGGCGAGGAAGAAGGAGCTCCTAACTCCACTGAAGCCAAATCCACAAGCTTCATGCACGGTGACCTCAGATAACCGATGATCCTATACCCGATTTATTTTCAAGTTTATCTGCTTGTTTTGGCAGGAGCAGGATATTTGGTGATCATTCAGAAAACGCAACAGAAGTAACAAATGTAGGATCTCGAAATTTTAACAGAAAAAATACTTCTGAATAAGTGGTAGTCAGAAGCCACGTAAGACAAGAATTAAATGGCTGATGTAAAATGTTTTATCCTGCTAATAATTCTATTTTGTTTTGTTTTGAAGGGAAGTGGAGGGTGTCTTTGCTGTGTTTCTCAGGCTGTTCTCAAACTCTTGGGCTCAAGGGATCCTTCCACCTCACCCTTCTGAGTAGCTGGGACCTCTGGTGCACTCCACAGTGCCCGACAAATAATTCTGCACCATGTTGATTAAGAAGAAAAGTGCTGGATTTTTTTTTAACTTTTTTAAATTGTTTTTTAAAATTTATTTATTTATTTATTTGTTTGTTTGTTTGTTTATATGTGGTGCTGAGGATCCAACCCAGTGCCTCACACATGCTAGGCAAGTGCTCTACCACTGAGCCACACCCCAACCCCATGGGCCACAACTGGATTATTCTTTTGGAGGGATTTGAGACTCAAAGAATATTATGCTCAGGGCATTAAAAACAGAGATTAGCACAGAATGAAAACTAGCTGGAATCACATAATCACCCCTTGCCACAAACAGGACTTGCGCCCCCGGTTAAGCTAAAATATTTATTGCACTGCATTCTAAACATATTCTTCCCAAAGAGACAAAACTATCAAATTTTGACTCAGAACTGTTACTTCACAACACATCCAGGACATTCTGCCCTGAGGCAGGCTAAAATGAATAACTAAAGGAAGATAGCAATAATTTTTATGGCTTACAGAAAAATAGAAGAAGGCTTTTTAATAGAATGTCATGGAACTAAAATCCTATTTAAGAGCCTCAGATGACAGAAATGAATCAAATGAGTGAGTGAGAAGGAGGCACAGTCACTGGCAGAGCACGAGGGGCCCCAAGTTCTGGCTCCAATACCACACACACACACACACAAACTCATAATAAAATAAAATACTACTTCAGGAGACTTTTTTCCCCTCAATTCTTAAAACGTTCCATTTTTTTTTTTTTAAAAATTGTGATCCCTATGGTTCAGGCTTCTAGAAAAATCACAAGATTAAGAAGCCATCCATGTCGATCATGAAGTGACTTTCATTTGAATGCTTCAGCACTTATACTGTAAAACATGAATCCCCCTAGTTGGTACCGTCTGTTTTCACATGCGCTCTATGAGAAGAGAAAGAGGGAACAAATAGAAATACAGAAATAAACACGAAACAATGCAAAACAGAACAAACTGTCCTGAGAAACTCCAGTAGAAGGAGCTAGACAAATGAAGAACTTAACCTTTAGCAAGAGCCAAGAAAGAAAGGTTGAAAAACTACGTTTCTGTTTGAATTGGACAAATCTGAATAGGAGTCACAGTTAATCATTGACTTGGCATGCATTTAACCTGTTAGGGACCTCATTTTCTTGACGTGTAAAATGAGATGCTTAAGAGAAGACCTTCTTTGAGGTACCCACTATCTTTTTTTTTTTTTTTCCTCCAATACATTTGCCACCAGGCTAGGAAGCATCCTAAGAAATCTAAAGCAGAATAGAACTTGTTCCTACACTCCGGGAGCTTGCAATCTTTATCTTTAGGGGAGATAAAAACATACACACAGATACCTAGATTTCAAAGTTGAACTGAGAAATGATGAGAGGGATAAAAATGCCCTGAGAGGGATCAAAAACTGCTGTTAGATGCATCTGAAGTCCAAGATCAAAAGGGCAAGGAGTGACCCTTTCAGTATTCTAATAAGCCAAGAAGGAAACGCATGTAAATTCAGGAAATAAAAGTGAATAGGGTTGTTTTGGGGTATAAATACACCTTTAATACTTAAAATCCAGGAAATAAGAGCCCCACACAAATATAAAATGCAGACTAGGCTACGAGTTTGTGTGGAGGCTTGGAATCCATTCATAAGTGAACCCTACAGTAGCAAACTCCGCATTAAAACATCGGAGAATACACATGAAAGGATCAGAATAAGGATAAAGTGGAAAACAGACAATCTGCGCAATTTTGTCCTTACGCAAGTGCCCAAAGCAAGTGTCCAAAGCATCCCCAGCCACCGCACCTGGAATCGCCTTTACCTTGTGAGGTGCTTGCGGACAGTGAACCGGTGAAGGAATCGCCCTCTGGGTCAACAGGAGGATCTCCCAGAGTTTCACCCATAACCGTGTGGAATGGGGATGAGCCGTCATTCACACTGACGTTTTGTCTGTTTCTTGCAAGAGATCAATCCATTAAAGGGAAAAGGCTTGTGATGGTAGAAGTATGTGAATACCACCAATGAGTCAAGACGTTAGTTTCTGAATATTTGGGAGAGGTCGGAATAAACACAGAAAGGACCGGCTGGCACCGTCCTGTGAGAGGGCCAGCTGTGACAGAATGTTGTGTCATAATGTTTGCTGCTTTGGCAAGACTTGGTACATTACAAGGAAAACATTGCCACACTGTCTCGCCAGTGACCCACACATTCTGTGTCTTGAGAGGGGCAGGAACACTTGGAATTATCAGAGCGGAGATCATTTCAGGATTTGATCGATTTTTTAAAATTTCAATAAATGGGTTGGGGCTGGGGATCCGAGGTAGAGCGCTCGCCTAGCACGTGCGAGGCGCTGGGTTCAATCCTCAGCACCACGTAAAAATAAATAAATAAAACAAAGGCATGTGTCCAACAACAACTATAAAAAATATCTAAAAAAATTGCAATAAAACGCACATCTATCGCTTCTTAGTGGAAAACTTCAAAATCTCTGGGTTATGAAATAGCAGACAAACATATTTGGGTAAAGTTTCTTTTAGGTGTTCATCCTTGGTTGAATCTCAATTATCTGAAGAATATTTTGGATCTCAAGTGTGTGTGTGTGTGTGTGTGTGTGTGTGTGTGTGAGGGTGTATTCCTCCCCTCTACCCCAAATGACAATAGCTTCAGATATGCTTTCGGAATTTTTTTTTTTTTTGGTAATAGGGATTGAACTCAAGGATCCTAAACCACCAAGCCACATCCTTTTTTTTTTTTAATTTAGAGACAGGGTCTCACTAAATTGCCTAGGGCCTCACTAAATTGCTGAGGCTGGCCTTGAACTTGCCATCTTCCTAACTCAGCCTCCTGAGTTGCTAGGATTATAGACGTGTGCCACCACACCCGGCTCATATTTTAAATTCTGCTACCAGCATGCTACCCCAAAGTTACATGTCTAAGGTATTTAGTTGACTGTTTTACAAAATCCAATGTGACAGCAACTACTACCCAAATTCTATGAAAACTATAAACGGCCGAGAGACGGAGGGCCTGATATGGTTTTGATTTTCTATGTTAGGGTTTGCTTTTTTAAAAAAGTTAAAGTTTATCCAGCTATAGCCACTTCAGTCATGTTTCAGTCATGTTTCAGTCATGTTGATGGTTCAATGATAAATGCTATGTCATAATGAAAAAACTAGATTCCTTCTGAAAAGAATAATGCATTACCAGAAGAAAAAGAAAAAAAAAGACTGGCCCTGTTAAGTTGGCGAGGAATTGTGGTCAGTTTTGTAATCAGGAAAAAGCTGGCTTGCTCAAGGCCTTTGCCCTTTTTGGCGAGGATAAACATTCACCGTGCCAAACTGCTAATGTGGGAGCAGGTCTTGTCATAGAGACGGCCTGGTGGAACTGCAGTGAGCTGTGGGTGTTAAAAGGTGCCCCCACAGAGGGCAGTGTATCTGATGGCAATAATTCTCTGAATTACACTCATCCTGATATTCCCCAAGTGGAATAACCATATATCTGGTTAATCTATGTTGAGTAACTACTTACTCTTCAAGGGGACTAGTGTAAGTTTCCCTGTCAATCATGGAGCAATAGCTCGATGGGAAAACGCTTACCGGGTCTGAAGAGCACACAATGAAGTAGAGAGTTGGGCAATTACATCATTATTTTAAGCCCCCAAAGCCCTGAACTAATGTAATTCAAGTTAAAGCAAGTTTCTTGACAGTCCAAATGATGGGGGTAATTATCACTCTGGAGGATTAGTTTTTATCTACATTGACTTTGAATCCTCCATAAGAGTTTCTCCTTCCCTCCCCATGTTTGGAAATTTACTTATATGCCAAATTAATCCAGACACGAGGCCGTCTTTCTTACAGATGTGATATAATCCAAGGTTCTTGGTGGAATTTGAGACAGACCAAAAATCATTTACAAAGGCCAAGAATACACTTCTTTCTAATAGAACAGAACAAAAATTGAAGTCCCACTCTGCCTATAGATACTACCATTCAATGTCCCAGGATGTATTTGAGACTAAAGAGCAAATGGCAGCCTTATTTCCTATGAAGTGGCAATATCTCACTTCATTCCCTAATGTCACCTCATTTCTGCCTTCATATTCCAGACTCTTTAACTTTTTTTTTTTTATACTAGGAATTGAACCCAGGGTGCTCTACTACTGAGGTATATCCCTAGTCCTTTTTTTAAAATTTGGAGACAGGGTTTTGCTAAGTTGCTGAGGCTTGCCTCGAATTTTCGATCCTCCTTCCTCAGCCTCCCGAGTTGCTGAGATTATGGGTGGCAGGCACCACCACACCCGGCTCTTCAACTTTTTAAAAGTGATTAGGGCTAGGAGTATAGTTCAGTGGTAGAGCGTGGGGTTAGCATGCATGAGGCTGTGAGTTCAGTCCCCAGCACCAAAAAAAGAAAAAAAAAAAAAAGGAAGAGTTTTATTAAAATATTCTGAAGATCGTGTTGGGTATGGAGGATCACAATATTGGCAGAAGGATCCCATTAGAGAGCGAATGTTAATAAAATGAGAAATGAGAAAAGTACATTCTCCAAGTTAAACAGCCAAATGGGGATATATCCCATTTGGCACTGGAACTAGAATCTAGGTTTGCAGGACTCCCACGCCCAGGCCAGTCTACTATTGGCCTTGCCATCTTCTACTCTGACAAGGGTATACATCGCCTGTTTTAATAAATCAGGCACAATAAGGATAGAGTGAGAGGTCATTTAAGGGGAAAATTTGTTAACTGTTTCAAGGGACATTAAAGAGTGCCTGTGTTTGCTCACACCTGTACTCCCAGTGGGATTCAGAGGCTGAGGCAGGAGGATCGTGGCTGGGGAGGCTGAGGCAGGAGGATCTTGAGTTCAAAGCCAGCCTGAGCAACTCAGCGAGACCCTTTGAATTCTCAATAAGAGTTTCTCCTTCCCTCTCCATGTTTGGAAATAAATAAAATATTAAAAAAAGGCTGGGGATGTGGCTCAGTGGTTAAGCACCCCTGGGTTCAATCCCCAGTATAAACAAAAGCGGGGGGGGGGGCTATGTTATTCCTCTTCCACTGCCAATGGTCATGGTGAGCAACCCCTCCGTGCCTGTCTTCCCCTTGTTCCCACACCCCTGGAAGAAGATGTAGCTCGATTGTGCCACATAATTCTCTGTGGGCATCTTCGTTTCTCAGGCCAAGAGCATTGCCTGGTTCTCAGGTTGCATCGTGGTCTCTGTGACTATTTGGGCGACACCCGGATCCAGTCTTTTCAAACGTTGTTTAAGGAATGAATTTCTCTGCCTCCTGTTATTTCTCTTCTCTCTTTTTCTTCTCAGAGGCCAATCAATTTGCCAACCTCCTGGGGAGGCAGGCCTTCCTCCTAAGTCTCTAGCAGTTCTGTGCTTCGGTTACTCAACCATTGAAGTCATTGCTAATAGTTAATTATTCCCTCACACCCGGATCTGCTAACACACTGGCATTCCTTCCTGCCCTGGGCCAGACTGTTACTCACTTGAAAGCAAAAATTAAAAAAAAATCTCTCTTATTTGTTGTATTGCATTCATTTATGAGCTCAGCATTTATTGACAATAGGTGGTAAGCCTTGAGCGAGGGGCTGGGAATACGGTGTTGTTATTTTATGGAGTGTGGAAACTGCTGACACACAAAATCGACACTCTTGATCAGCGTGGAGGCTGGCATTCAGCAGGCTCCAGACACACTGTTTACACTCTTGACAGCGCTTACCAGCCAGGCAACACATCTGACATGGCGAGGTCCTCATGACATAGCTGTACGGCATGGATTGTTTGATCCTATTTTACGTTACTGATAACCTTTTGTCCTACCACACAGAAGTGCGAGGTCACTTTAGAAATAACTTGCCCCCGTGGACGTTAAAGCAGATGAAAATGGAATCGAGCAGATTGCCTTGTTATTCTTTTATGCACCTGTTCTGTTCCCAGATACTGAAGACAGTTTCAGTTTCCAGCCCGGTATCCATCTGCTCATTGGTCAGATATTCACCAAACACCTACTAAGGGCCAGGTGTTATTCTAGGCCTCGCAGATAAACACACCGAGAGGCCGAGGATCCTCCTCAATCGTTCACCTGCAACTGCACAGACCAAAATTACCCCAAGAGACCTAGAGGAGGTATCTTTTAATTTAGTTAGCTTTGAAGGTCACCTGGCCTGCGCTGGCATCAGAAATAATATAGTTACATCTTCATAAAAGAAATAAATTTAAAAGGATAATATATTTGCTTAAATGAAGTCATTACTCTCAGCGGATGGTACGTGATCACAAGAAAATTCATAATGGTTCTGACGTGCACGTGAATGTCCCTGTCCTTCCAGGTCTTCACATTATTCCCCAGTGTCCCACTCTGCAGAATGTCAAAATCAGAAGGATGTGGTACTGAAATAGGCCAAAGAGCGGAGGGTGCATTACGCCACAGTATAAACTCTTGGTGCCTCAGATCTTGCCTAGGGTGCCCCCAATGGGGGATGAGCACCTTGCATCTCGATAGAGGAGCGGCTGCGTGTACCTCTTGTAGGGGAGGCGCCTTCAAGGGTCATCCTTGGTCACTTTACAGAGTGAGGGGGACGGTCAAAGAACACCTCTCTCCTGCGCTGTGCACAGAATGAACTTGACTCCTGCTGAGGCTTTGTGCAGTGGAGAGGAAGAGAAGGGCTTCTCTCCTGGGACCGGGGAGACACTGGGCTGGGAATGTCTGTGGGTGTAACCCTGCAGCTTCAGCACAACGAAGAAGGAGAACAAGGGATGATTATAAAAGGAAGAGAGGGAAAGCCCACTTAATGCTCTCCCCGTTTGTGACACTTGAAAAAAAAAAAAGGACAGTTTGGTATCCGAGAAGGCGACGTGTGTGACGTTACTTTATGGAGCCAGCCCTTGGCCAGAAGAATCTAAACGTTACTCAACTAAGAAACTTCCAAATCTTAGCACATTTGGGAAAACACAATGAGACATAAAAATTGTGAATGGTTCAATAGCAAAAAAAAGAAAAAACCTAAACACCTGAGGTTAAAATCACAGTATTCTATCTCCATGAAGTTATTTTTAGTGTTACTCACTGTTAGAATGATTTATAAAGAATCTTCCTATAATGCA